CCGAGCGAGGAGGACGAGTGTCAGTGTGCATAGGATGCGGCGGAGTCATCAACGACCAGTACATCCTGCGCGTGGCACCGGACATGGAGTGGCACGCTGCCTGCCTCAAGTGCGTCGACTGCCACCAGTTCCTCGACGAATACTGCACGTGTTTTGTGCGCGACGGCAAGACCTATTGCAAGAGAGATTATGTCAGGTGAGAGAGCTGGGTTTTTGTGTTTGTCTGTATGTTTTTATTTATTTATTTTTTATGTTGGTGCTTTTTTCTATTCTTATGTTGGTGTTTTATTAAATTCTTATGTTGGGGGTTTGTTCTGTTTCTATGTTGGCATTTAAAAAAATTCTTATGCTGGTATTTTTTTTTTTTTTTTCTCTCTTCTTATGTTTTTTCTATTCTTGTTTTTTTATTCTTATGTTGGTGTTTTTTCTTAATCTGTATTCAATTTCTTAATGTGATCCTATCGGTGTTTCTCCTGTTCTTTGTTCTTGTTGTTTGTGTTTTAGTCTCTCTTGTTTTTTTTAATGTTTCCTCGCTGTAATTCGTATTATATCAACTATTTTAATCATTATTATATCATTAATATTATTAGTCTCTAATTATCCCTTTCCTAAGTATCATCATCATTTCCGGCCATCATCATCATTATCACAACTTTGATCATTACTAGAATAAGAATATACGTGTGTAAAAGGAGAGAACATATGGCGATGCTTACACGTGTTCGCTTCCATTTACTCGTACGACGCGGATACACAGGTAAAAAATTATATATATACGTGTTTTTCATCAGCCGCTCGGATCCAAGGAACTTCAGGGATAATCTCTTGGTATTTATCAGGAAATCCATCCGAGTGTATTATATGTGTGTGTTTGTATGTATGGATACACATTTATATATATATATATATATATATATATATATATATATATATATACATATATATGTATATAAGTATATATATACATATATATGTATATATATACATACATATATATATATATATATATATATATATATATATATATATATATATATATATATATACATACATATATATATATATATATATATATATATATATATATATATATATATATATATATATATATATATATATATATATATATATATGCATACATACATATATATATATATATATATATATATATATATATATATATATATATATATATATATATATATATATATATATATTCCAATATATTACATCACATGTTTATCTTTTTATTTATTTATTCATTTATTTTTCTTATTGATATATATGTGTGTGTGCAAAAAGAGAGAGAGAAAAGAAATGGGAGAAGGACGAGCAATGAGAAAATGGATGAAGAAGAAGAAAGATGAAAAAGGGTAGAAAAAGAAATAAAAAGATGAAAAAGAAGAGAAAAAGAAAGAAGATGAAAAAGAAGAGAAAAAGAAAGAAGATGAAAAAGGGGAGAAAAAAAAGAAGATGAAAAAGGGGAGAAAAAAGGAAGAAGATGGAAAAAGGGGAGAAAAATAAAAGATAAAAGGAGAGAAAGAGAGAAATAAAAGAAAATGTTTCCAGTGACCCATTCAGTGACGTGAGCAAAGGGTCGCCGTGACACAGCCATTGTAAACACAGCGGCAGCCTATACAAACAGACTCTTTACCCTGTCACGCACACACACACACGCACGCGCACACAAACACTCACTCACACGCACACGGACACACGCATACACTCCAGGGCCGCGCGTTCCCGAGTAAAGAGACACGCAAGAATAAAGGTATATATATATATTTTTTTTTATGTTATAATATATATTTTTAGATTATTATTTCCTAGATTTAGCTTTTTGTGTGATTTTTTTTTTGTCTTTCTATTTTTAGTTTACGTATTCGTTCATGGGTTTAATTGCGTGAATATCTATCTTTATTTATTCCGTGGAATTAAACTAAAAAATTATTATATTACAAGAAAAAGAGATCTAAAAAGTACCATAAACAATGGACATCATCAATACTAAGAACTAAAGGCTAACACCATTTTCGATATAAAACACGTTTACATATTTTCAAAATCATTTCATATCTTATTCATATCCCTTCTGAGTTCTTCACTCTCTCTTTTTATTGCACACTGTTGCGAAAAAACACAAGCTTCCTACGACGCTTCTTTGCGAAACCATAGAACTGATAATATTTTCGTGGTGCAAGCGCAGTGCTTAGCGAGGGTGTGAGGGACGAAGGGTGCAAAAAAGTGCGTGGAGGGTGTAAGGAGAGAGGGAGAGAGGGAGAGGAAGAGAAAGAGGGAGAGGGAGAGGGAGAGGGAGAAGGAGAAGGAGAGGGAGAGGATGAGGGAGAGGGAAAGGGCGAGGGAGAGGGAAAGGGCGAGGGAGAGGGAGAGGGAGAGGGAGAGGGAGAGGGAGAGGGAGAGGGAGAGGGAGAGGGAGAGGGAGAGGGAGAGGGAGAGGGAGAGGGAGAGGGAGAGGGAAAGAGAGAGAGAGAGAGAGAGAGAGAGAGAGAGAGAGAGAGAGAGAGAGAGAGAGAGAGAGAGAGAGGGAGAGAGAGAGAGAGAGAGAGAGAGAGAGAGAGAGAGAGAGAGAGAGAGAGAGAGAGAGAGAGAGAGAGAGAGAGAGAGAGAGAGAGAGAGAGAGGGACAGGGACAGGGACAGGGACAGGGACAGGGAGAGATAGAGAGAGGGAGAGGGAGAGATAGGGAGAGAGGGAGGGAGAGAATAAAGGTAAGAAAGAGTAAGTGTAAAAGAAAGAGAGAAAGAGGAAGAGCCGGCGCGGGGAGAGCTTTGCAATTGCAAGGAGGGCAGTGTAGCGTTTACAGATACTGTATAATTTACCTCTTGGAGTTTTTTTTTGCCTCAGTGTTACTTGCAAATTGTTGAATGTTGTATGTCAATAAAGACCTTTCCTTAGACTTGTTCTGTTTCTCCTTCTTCTTCTTTATCCCCATCGTTATCATCTTTTTTCCCTTTTTTTTACGATGTTGTAATAAGCTTACCTGTTAAATCATGATCTTGTTTGTTGGCAAGCACTATCGTGTGTGCGAGTGTGTTTGTGTTATAAGCAAGCACGCAACGGAACTGCTCGCCACCAAAATGACTCCTGTTTGAAGATAACTGCATTGGATTTCTCATGTTCTTTTGCAATTGCATGCAGACATATAGACCGGTGTATGTCTGTATTTATATATGTGTGTGTGTGTGTGTGTGTGTGTGTGTGTGTGTGTGTGTGTGTGTGTGTGTGTGTGTGTGTGTGTGTGTGTGTGTGTGTGTATGTGTGTGTGTGTATGTGTGTGTGTGTGTGTATGTGTGCGTGTGTGTGTGTGTGTGTTTGTGTGTGTGTTTGTTTATGTGTGTGTATGTGTGTGTGTGTATGTGTGTGTGTGTGTGTGTGTGTGTGTGTGTGTGTGTGTGTGTGTGTGTGTGTGTGTGTGTGTGTGTGTGTGTGTGTGTGTGTGCGTATGTGTATGTGCGTATGTATGTGTATGTATGTATGTATGTATGTATGTATGTATGTATGTATGTGTGTACGAGTACGTTTGTGTTTGTAGATGGAGAGGTAAAGAAAGAGAGACCGATGCAGCAGTCATTGCATAGTAAAACAACAAGCTTTGTGAATCAAAACCGCGTAAATATTTCATCCCGGTAGTTTTACAATGTGAAACTGTAAAGGAAGGATAAACACATTAATCTTGTTTGTTCTCTCTCTCCCATCTTATTTTTCATTTACACAGACAGTTTGAAATCTCATAAACGTACTATATTCAGTGTCACATTTAACAAACTCCTTATTTACCAGATCGCACCAAAAAAAAGAAGACAAATTTCTAGAACAAGAAGAACAAGAACATTTACGAACGGTGCGAAGATATCATTTAAATCCATGTGCCAGATTTAACCTATAAATTAATCACTCACACGAAGGTTAATTACTAAAACATAAGTGTACATCTGATGCAAAATTTCATCACATCGGTGTATTGTACTGTAATAAGTCCACTGTAATGGTTTATTGATATGTGAGTAGAGGATAATAACCCATGTTTAATATGTGTGTATGTGTGTGTGTGTGTGCATATTACTTGGGTGTATTTATGTTTAAACGTGTTTGTGACATGTCGGCGGAAACGTTGATTAATGTTCTCGTGTTCAGTGATCCAATTAGCTGCAGTCTGATCGTTGTTACTGTAAATGTTGTTATGAATGCTGCTTTATTATTGTTGTTTTTAAAAAGTAGTATAATTACCATAGAATGCAATACATAAAACCGATTCAGTATACTTAAATACATCGATTACAACTTTTATGAAATGAAGTTTAATCTCATAAAGATTGATATATATGGTGACTGTCATGCTGTGACTGTCATACGGTGAAGGGCGCTGTGACTGACACGAAGCCATTGAGGGTGTAGTAGCTGTCATTTCCATGGAGGCGGAGGGAAAGGGAGGAATGCGACAGGGGAAAAGAACGGAGAAGGAAGGGGAACATAGAGAGAAGAGAAGGGGAAGGAATAGAGGACGAAGGAGAGGAGAGGAAGCAGGGAAAGAAAATAGGGAACGAGGAAGAGGAGAAGAAAGATGAACAGAAGAGAGAGAAAAAAGGGATGGAGAGGAATAGAAGAAAGAGGATAGGGGAACGGAAGATAGGGTTTGGGTTAAGAGGGCATAAGGAGAGGGGGTAGAGGGGAGGGATAGAGAGAACGGAGGGAGGAGGGGAAGGGACAGAGAGGATGGGGGGAAGGGGGGGGGTAGGGATAAAGGGTCTTGACCGGGTGTTTACAAGCGCCTGAAGTCCCATGTTGACGGCGGGAAAGCGGTCAACACGGCATTTTGTTTCTTTGTGCAGTTGGTTGCTGAAGTGATAGAGGGAGAGCGTGATGGAGATTCAGATAGATAGACAGATAGACTTTTATAATAAATGATTGATTGATTGATTGAATGGTTGACTAACTAATTTATAGATAGCCAGGTAGATAGATAGTTAAGTAGATAGAATGGAAGAGAAAGAGATAGAAAGGGTAGACAGAGACATATAGACAGATAGGTAGACAGGTAAATAGGGATGTTAGATGGATAGACAGATTTATAGGCAGAAAAGAGGTAAACAAATAAATAATGATCTTAGCATTTAATTATACACACACACACACACATATATATATGTGTGTGTGTGTGTGTGTGTGTGTGTGTGTG